GTGGTGGAGGTATGTCCAGAGCATTCGTCACGGAAATGTACAGGGCAGGCAGGTAGGTTCTGTTCTTGGGAGTTGGCCACTAGGGGCGGTGCTTCCTGGGCTTCTGTTTGAGCCTCCAGGCTTGTGTTGGTGCAGACTGACTGTTGCAGTAATGAGGTATGGTGGTGGAGGTATGTCCAGCGCATTCGTCACGGAAATGTACAGGGCAGGCATCACCGATTCACCAACACCCTGCTGTGAACAGTGTGGCTGCAAGGATCCTGTCTGTTAACTGTTCTGGTCACTGATATTTTTTCCCCTCGTGTGATTTCGTGTTGTTACTGGCCACATATGATCAGAATATGGATTTCTAGCTTCATGGCTTGTATTATGCAGGTGTGACGGGGTTGCTGTTAGAATCGGAGTGGAGGTCAGGAGCAGCAGCGGTGTGGACTTGGGGGCGGCGGGCTCAAAGATAGAATAGGTGGTAAACAAGAAAACATCGTGTGCTGAATCAGGCAGTGAGTGTTATGGGGTAGGGGGTGCTCTCTTCTTCTGGCTCCTTTTTGAGTTTGTTTGTCTTATGCTTTCTCCTGTTTCATTCACGCATTTGTCCCAAGGGTGTCAACATGGAATTTACTAGAATTGCGTGTGTAAATTGATGGGTCGAATATGGGGGAGAGGGGTTAAGAGTGCTGGAGGGAGCGTCCGGAGGGTAACAGCTCGCTCGAATGGGGCAAGAATCCCTGAGCCTTGATGGGCAAGGGTTGCCCGGAGAAATTAGAAGCCCTTGCCCTTACGCTGGGGGTGGGCCGGCCAAGTCTTGGAGACCATTGGACTGTTGCTAATTTGTTGTCCTGGGAAATTAGTTGTTCATATTTCAAATTTAAATAAAGTCGGTGAGTTTTTTTTCTCTTCCAACAGTGCTTGCTGTGCATCTGTCTCCTTTGGCTTGGCCTCCTCAAGTATTGTCGGAAGCGGGGAAGATGTGCATATGCTGCAATGCATACCTGGCTGGCCATGTCACGTCCCTTTGCGTGTCCGACAGGAAGAAATTGTTGCTTTGATTAATGTTATATGGATGCTTGATTTCTGTTAACGCATCACCTGTCACGTTATGTTCTCCATGTGCCGTCTGCCTTTCGATCTGCCAATCTGCATGTCCGTCCTTGTGAAGGATGTTTATTCCCTACATGCCCAGTGTCAAGCATTCTTGTAGGTGGTTTGTCTTTTCCCTTTCCGTTTGCTAGATGTATTTGTGCAGCTTGTTGAACCTGATTTGTTTGTTTGTTCGTTTATTTCTTTATTTACTAATTGATCGTGCACTTTGTTTTTGCTCTTTTTGTGTGTGTACACACACACACACACACACATACACACACACATACACACACATATACACACACACATACGCACACACATACACGCACACACAGACATATATATAACCGACAGTCTGTAGAGTTTTCCATCTGGTGTGGGTGAGTGATAGTCTGCTTTGACTTTTGCCACAGCTACTTTGAGGGCAGTGGTTGGTGCCCAACTCAGGGTATCAGATGTCGGGCAGTCATTGATGCTTAACCACAGCCGGGGTTAAGGTGGATTATCACTTACAGTGTAATCAGTTAGGGGGTTCTGCAGACTGTTGAGGGTTCAGCCTCCTGAATGTCGGTGAAACTCCGACGAAACAGTTTGCCACAGCCCCTCGTTTGTTGTCCTCTTCTCCCTCTCTGCCTACGGTTTACCGGGCAGCTCTGTTTTATATATATATATACTATTTGACGATATATACATCCTGATGAGTCGGTGAAACTCCGACGAAACAGTTTGTCACAGCCCCTCGTTTGTTGTCCTCTTCTCCCTCTCTGCCTACGGTTTACCGGGCAGTTCTATTTGACG